CGCACGAGAAAGGAAGTGGACCCACCACAGGTGCCCTTTGAGCGCCACGCGAGCCCGCAGCAGGCCAGCACTGCGGTGACGCGCCGGGAGGAGGGAACTTGGTGAGGTCCCCGTCTTCCTTGGCTGAAAGCAGCCGACGGGTGCAAACGTGCACAGGCTGTGAGGTCGTTGTCTAAGCTCACTGGGAGGTGGGGTAAGAGAATCCACAGAACTTGCTCTGGGAGTGGATTGGGGTGGGGAGGTCACTGGGTTTTCTGTCACACGTGTAGCGCTCTGACTTTTTAAACTAGGTGCATATGTGACTTCGGTTACTAATAAAATGAAAATAAAAGAACTCTAATTCCAGTCTCAGGAGACTGCTGGTTCGGAGCAAAATCCCATTGGTTCCAACCAGACAGTGCCGGTGCCTCTCTCCCCAGAGCTGGGTGGACATTTCGATGGGCTCTCTCCCGCCTGTGACCAGCCAGGCCCCAGGACCCCGAGGAGTCCCCCCAGAACGCCGATGGCTCTCAGCCCGAGAGGCCGTGTCACAGGTCGCTTCCACAGGGAAGTGGTCCGGGTGCAGGTGGTCGGAGCCCCTGACTTCTGAGTGTGTGGCCGTTGGCTCCCTGCAAGGCGGCCCCGCCAGCCCCCCGGGCTCCCTCTGAGAGCCTGGCTGCCCTCTGCCTCGCCTTGGGTGTGCTGGGACCCGGCGTCCTGCTGCCCCCGGGGTTCAGACCAGGGGATGGTGGGCGCGCTGAGACACCGCCGTGCCCCCACCTGCTTCTGTCGTCTGGTCGGGGCGCTGCAGGAGTGGAGGGGAACCCAGTATGGCTGTGGCCCTGGTGCCCCCATCTGCCCTGCAGGGCCTCCACGGGCTTCTCTGCCCTTGACACCCCCTGCTTCCCGGGCGTGCTGGGAGGCCGTCGGGAGGTGGGGGCTCGCACCCTTGGGTTCCCGCTCCAGATGTAGCTCCCCCTTCCCACGACCTTGGGCTGTACGTTTGCGTACAGGAGGTGCTCATAACCCCTCCCCTGCCTGTGCGAGCTGCCCGGGGGGCACCTGTACGCGCTGTGGCTCCACGGGTGGCTCGTGTCCATGTTTGGAGGAGGGCTGACCGGTTCGGCGGGAGGCTGTGGGTGTCCGGTGCATGAGCGGCTCCGGTCAGTGGGCCCTGTCACGGCAGGAGCTCGGAGCCGCGCCCCCCTCTGCCCCGGCCCCACCCAGCGGCCCTGTGAGGAGGGAGGGCATCGCCTCCATGTTCTAGGCCAGCCCTTGAGGGGGTGGCCCGGCCTCCGGATCCTGAGAGGACAGTGGCCTGGTCCCAGGCCTCAGGCAGGAGGACGAGGCTCTTGGCAGGAAGAACACGGCGCTGGCATGCCTCGGGCCTGCGTTCGATCCCGGCCTGCCCTTTCCGCGTCTGTGGGAGGGGGTGTAGCCCAGCCTCGCAGGGATATGGTGGAAGTCAGGGGGCCCCGTGGCCTTGGCGCTGAGGCTGGCGGGACGGAGCAGATGTGCAGGTGGGCGTGGGAGGCACCAGCCGTTGGTCCCTCGTCCCGCAGCGCCTCCTGGCACCCGTCTGGACCGCCACCAGGAGCTTGGGAGGTGAGTCCTGGGCATCTTGGCAAGAGCGGCGACGGGCTCTGCCTCCCCAGGACCAGGCTTGGCCGCCTGCGCTCTCAGGGAGACCAGAGGGGGTCCCAGCCGTGGGAAGTGGATGCTGCTGCCGCCTTGGGCCAGGCTGGGGGTGGGGAGGCTGTGCCGCTCCTTAGTTTCCAGCCTTTCGGCGGAAAGGACTGAGCAGAGACGACTGCCGTGTGGTCTCCGCTCGGGGAGGGGCCGCCGGGGACACGTGTTCACGGAGTCCCCATGCTTCGGGCTCTGCGAGGGTGGACACGGCCTCAGCGTGGCCTGTGCGGGGGACCACGGTTTTCCTGCTCCGCCTGTGTGGGGGTCCCAGCAGCTGGGGAGGGAGCTCTGAGCAGGGGCCCAGGGCCAGAAGGTCTCAGATGCAGGAGGCAGCCGACTTGGCCAGGAGAATGTGTGGAGGGTGCAGGAGAGACCAGCTGCTCAGGACACCGGCCTGCAAGGCCGACTCCGGTCCCGTGGACAGGGGAGACCTCTGTCCACTTCGTCCGCGTGTGTTTACTTAGCACCTGCTCCGTGTCAGACTGTTGGAAACATGACAGTGTGGCCGGCAGAATAACAGCCCCACGGATGTCCAGGCCCTAATCCCTGGACCTGGCCCTCACCTTTCGCAGGGAAGGAGAGTGGCTGCTGCTAATCCGCCTTCAGACGGGGAGACGTGCTGGACCCCGCGGTGAGCTCTGGTGGTCGCAGGGCTCCTGATGGGCCGGGGGACCCAGGAAGGGCACACTAGTGACTGTGACTGGAAGCCAGGCACAGGGAACTCAGCCTCGCCCCTGGGCTTCCAGAGGGGAACGCAGCCCACGCACCTTGCTCTTAGCCCAGGGAGGCCTGGCTCGGCCCCAGACCGCAGGGCAGTGGCTGTCTTGTTTTAAGCCACTGAGTTTGTGCCGATCTGTCACGTAGCAGCTGTAAAAACGAATCCATAGCTGAGACTTCCGGCGCTAGTGGCCCAGAGAGCGAGCCCCAGTTGGCCAGGTGGAAGGGTGGCCTGATGAAGACACGGGCCTGGGTGCTGAGCACAGGGGCGTGGGAGACCGCGCCGCAGCACAGACTTGCCGGAGCGGGCGGAGAGAGGGGACGAGGCCGCGCAGGGCTGCACCCCCCGGACACGGCAGCCACTGGGGCGCGTGGGGGTGTGCGGTGGCCATGGCAGAGTGGGTGGAGGGGCTGAGTGGGGCTTGTGCTAATGTCCAGGGGGCCACCTGGATGGGTGGGACCTCGGGTGGGGAGGACTGGGCGTGGCTGGTACCTGGGCCATGTGACTGCAGATCGGTGCTGGGCAAGGTGAGCCAGGGGTTGCTCAGCCGGGAAATGGACTTGGAGGGGCTGGAGTGAGGGCCGCTGAATCAAACTGGTGACCCCTTGGTGCCTGGGATGACGCCCAGCCAGCTGAACCACACCAGCTCGGGCAGCATGGTCGTTGCTGCGTTGTAGGGCACACAGCAGAGGTGGGGTGAGCTGGGCGGAGCAGAGCTGTGGGGGCTCTCCCGGGGTCACTGGTGGAAGGGTCCCCTCTGTGCTCACGTGACGGTAGAGCCATCGTTTGCTAAGGTGTGCGGCATGAGGAAGGAGCTGCCCAGGTTGGGGCACTGCCTGCTGAGGGGGTAGGGCGGGCTGTTGGGGAGCCAGCCTGGCCCTGGTGGGGTGGTGGGCACCAGGCATTCCCAGGTGGACCGATGGGGGTAGGTGTGGATCTGACCAGGTGAGGCCCTTAGCGGGTGGGCACAGCTGCTCCGGACAGTCAGCGTTTTCTGGGTGTGCAGATGAGCCAGCAAGTGGGACCCAAACCCCAGAAGAGAAGGGACCAGTGTGTGCTGAGGAGGAGGGCCTGGCCGGCGTGCGGCCCGGGCATGGCTCACTGTGACCTGGGGCTGACAGCTTCAGTGGAGGGGTCCGCACCTGGGCCGGAGGAAGTGAGGGACCCACGTCCATGTCAGGGTGCAGCCCCCCTTCTCCCCGGGGCTCCCTGCTGCACCTGGTGGGGGGTCCTGCTGGGCACTGGGCACTCGCCAGGGCTCCGCCCTCGGCAGCACACCCTGCGTCCGGCTTGGGCCCTGCTCCCCTGCAGGGATGCAGATGTTGGAGCTCCTGCTTGGGTGGGCCCCGGGCGCGGGCTGGGCGAGTGGACGTGCCGCCCTGGGGGTGACACAGTCCGTGCCCCGTGTGTGGTCGACACGGAGTGATCGCGGGTCGGTCAGCCACCAGAGGAGGGGACGTGGCGCTGGGACACCATGAGCCGTGGGGGATGTTGGTGGCATCAGAGAAGGCCGACTTCCTGATAGAAATGACTTGACAGGCTGAGGGGTGGAGGGGTGCCCAGCAGAGGGAGGACCAAGTGGACATCCAAGGAGGGGGAGCCTGAACCCTAGGGGGCTGGCACAGAGAACTCGGGGCCTCCCCACGCGGTGGACGACCAGACCTGATGTGTGAACTGGGAAACCACAGAGGGAAGGGTCTAGGCCGGGGCCGTGGGACCTGAATCTGTAGTGTGCCCGAGGGGCCGTGCCCAAGCCCAGGGGTGGACTGTTAGCGCCGTGCTGCCGGGACAGCCATGGGATGGTCCGCAAGGAGGGGCTGGTCAGCAAGGAGGGGCTGGTCAGCAGGTCTGTGGCCCCACGGCGAGGGAGGGGTCGTGATCCCTGGCGGGACTCTGCCTCCGATGGTTCGGGATGTCGGTCTGAGCGGACCCCTCTCCATGCCTGACTCGGGCAGTCTCCGCACCTGGCTGTGTTCCCCTCAGTCGTCCTAGAGGGGCAGGTCATGCTGCCCACACCCCTGGATGACAGGTGGTTTCCTTTTAGCTGAATTATGACGTGTGCGTGCTTCGCGTCCCTACCACCTACCAGGGTGAGGCGTGATCCCAGCACCCCAGCATCACCTGTGTCCACGACAGTGAGGTTCCCCCAAAGCTGCTGTCCCCACCTCTGTCACTGCAGCATGGTTTTGCCCACTTGAGCCTCATGTAAACGGAAGCGTGAAAAGTCATACGCGAGGTGGCTGGGGTCCGGCGCGCTTTGCCCAGTGCGGGCCTGGGAGTCAGCCTTGCCGAGCGCAGCGGGGACAGGGCTGCCGCTGCCGGAGTCTGAGCATCACAGCTTCTCATTCATGCCGGTCGCGCTGACACATTCCCATGGTTCCCGTTCCCACTCCGCGCGAGAAAACGGAGCTCAGAAAGGCCAGCTTACCCGTGGGCACTGCAGAGGGCATTCAGCCCAGGTCTTGCCCCAAGGCCAGTGTTCTTCCACTCGACTCGAGGGGCTCCTGGGACCCCACCTTCGTGCCCTCCAGCCCCCTTCTAGGGCGCAGGTGCCGGCCTGCAAGGGGTACGACCTTGGGCTCCCGAGCACCCCTCACCGGGCCTCTCCCTCCAGGCACCAGCTTGCTGCAGGAGGTGGTCTACCTGGTGAGCCAGGGCGCCGACCCCGATGAGATCGGCTTGATGAACATTGACGAGCAGCTTCCGGTCCTGGAGTACCCGCAGCCGGGCCTGGACATCATCAAGGTACTCTGGCGGCCCCAGCCCCGCGCCCCCTGTGGAGCGTTTCTGCTGTTGCACTCCGAGCGACAGTTCCTCCTGAGGGGTGCAGGTGGCCCCAGGAAGAGGAGGGAGCGGCTGGTACCCTAGGCAGCCAGGAGAGAGACAGGCCTGTGGCACTGACCCTGGAATCAGACTGGGTGACTTCAAGGGAGTGGGGGCACAGGAGAAGTGGGGTGTGAGGGGCCTTGCCACCCCTCCCCTTCCCTGCGGCATGCCCCATCTGCTGAGGGCTGGGTAGGGTGCATTTGCATCAGCCATTTGGTGTCAGGAATGAAGTAAACATCCCCAAATCTCGTCCATTTCACCCTCCAGTGTACCTGGAGTTTTCTGGCCACCCTCCCCTCTGCCACGTCTCAGTTCAGTCCTGTCCAGTGCGGGCCGCCTGTCCCGCCCCACGAGCCGAGCGTTCCGTGGCACCGCCCTCACTGTAGAGGCCACGGCACGTCCTGGGAGCCAGTCTCTGCAGCCCGCCCGTGTCTGCCCGGCTGCTCACGGCGCCCGCGCGTGGCCACGTGGACTCAGCCTGGTCGACTCACCCACAGAGCCCACCGCAGAGCTGCCCTGGGTGCCCGTGGCAGGCTGGCACAGCTCGGGCATGGGGGTACAGCCGAGACCCCGACTGAAGACAGTCCCGGCGCTCACAGCGCCGACATCCAGTGAGGGAGGCTGGCCGGAGGGAACGTGCTGGGAGGCAGTGACCCTGTCGGATGGGGAGCCCGCGGGACTGGGCGGCCTCCGTGGGTGTCAAGTCAGATCCCGGAAGAGCGGAGGAGCTGGCCGCGTCGGGGCAGAGGGACAGTGGGTTCAGACCCCCGAACCCTGGATGTTCTGGGAGCCGCAGGAAGGCCCGGTGCTGAGGCGGCGGAGAACCCAGCAGCCCTCTGGGCCTGGTGCCTCCTCCGCTGTCCCTCAAGGCCAGGCCCGGCCCTCTGGGCAGACCCTGGCGACTGTGCCAGGCTCACCCAGGCTGTGGGTGCCCAAGGACAGGCCGCATCTTGCTCACATCTGGCCCGAGGTTCAGCCTGGAGGGTGGTCACATCTCAAGTGAGAAGTTCGTCAGGTGGAGTGCTGGTCCCAACCCCGAGACCCTCTCCGCCCGGCCCCCCTAGAAAGGCCCCCCGTGTGCCTCTGAACGCCTCTCCCCGACCCTGCCCCCTGCCGCAGGAGCTGACGTCGCCCCGCCTCGTCAAAAGCCACCTCCCCTACCGCTTCCTGCCCTCCGATCTGCACAGCGGCGACTCCAAGGTAATTCCCTGTCCGTCCCAGGCGGGTCAGCCACACTCGTCTTCCCAGAGGACCTGGGTGGGGCCAGGCCCGGTGTGGCCGCCGACCCGGCCTGTATCTCCAGCAGTTCAGTCATACTTGCAATCTGGGGTTTCCTCCTACTTGAACTCGGACTTGATCAGCCTCCGTTCAGCCTCTGTGGTGAAGGCTGAGGGTTCACAGCCGATTTTCCCTTTTTCTCAATTGCATGAGGGTTATGAGGCCCATGATTGTCGTCTGCAGTGTCAGGACTTGTATTTGTCTGTCTTCCACTGATACTGCAGTACAGCTGGCGACAGAGATATAATAAAACGCTCAAGGAGCGGTCCGGGCAGGAGATGCCGTTGTGAGCATGTGATCGCATTCCTGCTGAAACAGAGAAATAGCAAAGTGCACTTGGCCACGGGCGTGTGGGGTGGTCTTGATGCTGGGAGTGAGGCCGTGAAGGAGAGGGGGTGTGTCCGTGTCCTGCACAGGCCGTGAGTGTGCGTGAAGGAGAGGGTGTGTGTCCGTGTCCTGCACAGGCCGTGAGTGTGCGTGAAGGAGAGGGTGTGTGTCCGTGGTCCTTCCTGCACAGGCCGTGAGTGTGCGTGAAGGAGAGGGGGTGTGTCCGTGTCCTGCACAGGCCGTGAGTGTGCGTGAAGGAGAGGGGGTATGTCCGTGGTCCTTCCTGCACAGGCCGTGAGTGTGCGTGAAGGAGAGGGTGTGTGTCCGTGTCCTGCACAGGCCGTGAGTGTGCGTGAAGGAGAGGGTGTGTGTCCGTGTCCTGCACAGGCCGTGAGTGTGCGTGAAGGAGAGGGGGTGTGTCCGTGTCCTGCACAGGCCGTCAGTGTGCGTGAAGGAGAGGGTGTGTGTCCGTGTCCTGCACAGGCCGTCAGTGTGCGTGAAGGAGAGGGTGTGTGTCCGTGTCCTGCACAGGCCGTGAGTGTGCGTGAAGGAGAGGGTGTGTGTCCGTGTCCTGCACAGGCCGTGAGTGTGCGTGAAGGAGAGGGTGTGTGTCCGTGTCCTGCACAGGCCGTCAGTGTGCGTGAAGGAGAGGGTGTGTGTCCGTGTCCTGCACAGGCCGTGAGTGTGCGTGAAGGAGAGGGTGTGTGTCCGTGTCCTGCACAGGCCGTGAGTGTGCGTGAAGGAGAGGGTGTGTGTCCGTGTCCTGCACAGGCCGTGAGTGTGCGTGAAGGAGAGGGGGTGTGTCCGTGTCCTGCACAGGCCGTGAGTGTGCGTGAAGGAGAGGGGGTGTGTCCGTGTCCTGCACAGGCCGTGAGTGTGCGTGAAGGAGAGGGTGTGTGTCCGTGTCCTGCACAGGCCGTGAGTGTGCGTGAAGGAGAGGGTGTGTGTCCGTGTCCTGCACAGGCCGTGAGTGTGCGTGAAGGAGAGGGTGTGTGTCCGTGGTCCTTCCTGCACAGGCCGTGAGTGTGCGTGAAGGAGAGGGTGTGTGTCCGTGTCCTGCACAGGCCGTGAGTGTGCGTGAAGGAGAGGGTGTGTGTCCGTGGTCCTTCCTGCACAGGCCGTGAGTGTGCGTGAAGGAGAGGGGGTGTGTCCGTGTCCTGCACAGGCCGTGAGTGTGCGTGAAGGAGAGGGTGTGTGTCCGTGTCCTGCACAGGCCGTGAGTGTGCGTGAAGGAGAGGGGGTGTGTCCGTGGTCCTTCCTGCACAGGCCGTGAGTGTGCGTGAAGGAGAGGGTGTGTGTCCGTGTCCTGCACAGGCCGTGAGTGTGCGTGAAGGAGAGGGTGTGTGTCCGTGTCCTGCACAGGCCGTCAGTGTGCGTGAAGGAGAGGGTGTGTGCCTGTGTCCTGCACAGGCCGTGAGTGTGCGTGGAGAGGGTGTGTGTCCGTGGTCCTGTGCAGGGCCGTCAGTGTGCATGAAAGAGAGGGTGTGTGTTCATGGTCCTGCACAGGCCGTCAGTGTGCGTGAAGGAGAGGGTGTGTGTTCATGGTCCTGCACAGGCCGTCAGTGTGCGTGAAGGGGAGGGTGTGCGTGAAGGGGAAGGTGTGTGTCCGTGTCCTGCACAGGCTGTGAGTGTGCGTGAAGGAGAGGGTGTGTGTCCGTGTCCTGCACAGGCTGTGAGTGTGCGTGAAGGAGAGGGTGTGTGTCCGTGTCCTGCACAGGCCGTCAGTGTGCGTGAAGGGGAGGGTGTGCAAGGATCTGTGACTAACCCATCCCTCCGTCATCCCTGCCTCCCTCCCTCCCGCCACAGGTCATATACATGGCTCGGAACCCCAAGGACCTGGTGGTGTCCTATTACCAGTTCCACCGCTCCCTGCGCACCATGAGCTACCGGGGCACGTTCCAGGAGTTCTGCCGGAGGTTCATGAACGACAAGTGTAAGTGCAGCCTGCGTGGATGTCACAGCCCGTTTCTCACCAACACCCGCGCGTGCTGCTGCTTGGCCCACATCTCCCCAGTTCTGACCGTCACTGCGCCCGTCGGCGAACCAGCTGGGGCTGGGGGGGACCAGGTTTGTCCGAGGTCACAGCTCACGCATAGCAGTGTGTCCCACTCAGAAGCCCTCTCACCACCTTGTTGGGGTGCTGAGAAGGTCCCCAGTGAAAAGCACCTCTCCCTGCCTGGATTCCCAACAGTGGAAACGGAGGCCCGACAGCTCCGTTGCTGGGGACAGAAGCCAGTGCAGGTGGGGCTGCCTGTGAGAGCCCCACGGGTCTCAGGTGGACTTGAGGGTCAGGCAGGCTCAGCCCCCGGCCCAGGCCAGTGTGACTCAGGAGAGGGTCGGGGAAGGCAGGCTCTGCGCAGGAAACCTGTTCCCGGGGCGAAGGGTGAGCTGGGCCGAGCTGCCAGGGCCCTTCCCCATGTCCCCCCTCCACGGGGGGCGTAGCCGGGCACACCTGCCACATGGGGATGAGGGAAGAAGTTGTCCCCTTGACCGTGGGTCACAGGTCCTCACCGCAGCTCTGTCCCCTTACCGAGTGGCTTCCCATTTGCCAACCAGGGCTGCCCTGGGTCCCTCCCGGGACCGCAAGGGGGCAGTTTAGAGTTCGCACCCAGAAGAGCTTTGAGATGGGTCATAGCCATACTTTAATGAAATCCGCAGCAAGACTGTTTTGTCCCTAAGTCTAAAATATTTTATTCCCAGCACAAGTAATGCTCAGCCTCATTGTCCACTGAACGCAGCTGGGCTTCTGCAGGGAGGTCATGTGATGAGGTCAGGGTCCAGTGCTCCGTGGACATCGGGAACTCGTGCCCCAAGTGTGAACGGAGCTCGAGGCGGCCGAGCTAGAGCTGCCCCCCCGGCCCTGTTGAAGTGCAGACCCCTCGTGACGGCAGTGTATGTCTGCGGGCCCAGGACCACCCTGTTCCCTGCCTGGAGTCTGCTGCAGCTGCCCTGGGGCAGGAGGGAGACATGGGCCGTGGGGAGGAGGGACCCAAAGACGGGCGCCGCAGCCCCCGCCCCCTAAGACCCCCGAGACCCCTAGAGGCCTGCGTCCAGCCTCCCTTCCGCCCAGCCTGCCCACTCTCTGGCTTAGGCCCCTCGTGGTCTGCCAGGCACTGGTTCCCAAAGTCACGTGTGAGCCCCAGCGTGCACCTGCCTCTACAGAAGCGGCCTGCCACGCGGTCTGCCACGCGGCCTGCCACCAAGAGCAGGCGTCCGGCAAGGGCAGATCAGTACGCGGTGTGAGCTTCAGGCTTCCTGCCCGGGCCGCCGCACTGAAAAGTTACCCCAGAGCAGGCCTGTCCCGTTGGGAAGGTCACAGCCATGTCCAGCACTGAAGTTCAAGGCCATGGACACTCCCCGGGGTCCCACCGCTGTTCCCTTCAGTCTGTCTCGGGCCAGTGCCCCACACCTGGGCTGGATGTGTGTGCGCTTCTCTGTCCAAGGTCCTGAAAGTTCTGAGGCCTAAGATGGGGATGCAGTGAGCTGACACCGTTTACTGAGAGCGAGGTCGGAGGACCAGCATTGGGGGTTGTAGCCCATGTACTCTGGGGGACGCGGGGCCCCGTGCGCGGGGACAGGAGCTGTGAGGGGAGCAGGGCGGGCGAGCGGTTCCTCCCGGTAATTCGCTTGGATAAGCACACTGAGCTCTTGGAGCACAGGGACTCCGTGGAGAGAAGTGGGGGTTCCCGGGGGTGCTCCTTCCTGGGAGGGCACATCGAGTGTGCAATACATCGGCCCACCCCTCTGAGCTGCCGGCCAGGCTTAGAGAAGCAGTGACTTCTGTCCTCACCCCCCCGGGCCCCGAGTCCCCTCCTGTCCACCTCCACGCCACCCCCACGGTCGTCAGTCTGTCCTGAGTTTTCTCTTGGATGAGAGGGATTTTCTTTAAAATTGTTTTTTCTCTATTGATTTCGGAGAGGAAGGGAGAGGGGGAGAACGAGAAACATCGATGAGAGGGAACATCGATGGGCTGCCTCCTGCATGCCCCCCACTGGGGATCAGGCCCACAACCTGGGCATGTGCCCTGACCGGAAATCGAACCGGCGACCTCTTGGTGCAGGGTCGACGCTCAACCACTGAGCCACACCGACCGGGCAAGAGGGATTTTCTAATGCTCCATGTTCAGGGCCGTGACTCCTCCTCTCCCCAGGGCCCAGGTCACTTTACTGGCCTGTGGTCAGACTTGGGTCCTCCTCTCGGGCCTTGGTCATTGGCCTGGCAGTGCCGTCGGTGGCTGTCGCTCCTTCCCTGGTCGTGTCAGGCAGAAGGTGGTGGGCTGTGTCTGGGGCCCGCCCTGTATGTTCCTCGTGTGTGCACGCGAGCAGGCGGGGCCAGGCTGGCCTGGGCCCCAGGGCCCAGCAGCGGGCCCCCTGCGCGAGGGCACCAGCAGAGGGGCCAGGGTTTGCTCAGCGTGGGTCTCAAGCAAGGCCTCTGGATAGTCCCTGTTCTTTTCTTGCAGTTCACGCCTGCCCATTTGCCTCCCCTTGCGGAGTCCTGCCTCCTTCCTCAGTAGGCGGGGCAGGGTCTGGCTGGCCAAGGAGGACCTTTCTGCTCTGATCTGCTCCTTAAGGCCAACCCCTCAGCCCCTGATGGACACCTGGCTCCCTGCTGCAGTGCTGCCACCTGCTGGCGAGATGGCAGACTGGCAGCGGCAGGGGTAGCTGTCGGTCACCCCTGGCAGGGCCCTGTGCTGGCTCCTCTTAGTCTCCTGCACCCCATCCCGCCTCCTGCCAGCAAACAGACTGGCACCGTGTCCTGGTTTTTCTGGGAATTTTCTTCCTGATGACCTTCTGTTAAGCACAGACTCATGGGTGCCAGGGACCATCCATGCCCTGGGTGAACAGAGGCCTCCACCTCAATGTCAGGTCTTCAAGGCATGCAGAGGTGGGGCGGGGCGGGGCTGAGGACTGTTCGAGGAGAGGCTCGCACAGGGTGAGGTGACGTGGGATTCCAGAAGACGTTTCCCGTGGGGCTCCCCCAGCCGAGAGCTTGTGTTTTCCACCCTGAATCAGCCTCTGGCAGCAGGACGGGAGAGGGAGCAAAGCCACCCACCATGTGCATGCTTTCCTCCCGCTCCCCGCCCTGTCTCCACAGTGGGCTACGGCTCCTGGTTCGAGCACGTGCAGGAATTCTGGGAGCACCGCACGGACGCCAACGTGCTTTTCCTCAAGTATGAAGACATGCACCGGGTGAGTGCCGGGGCCAGCCGCCGGGGCAGCGGGGGCACGGGGCCTGCTCGCCACCAGTGCTGGGGGGCAGCGGGGGGCACGGAGCCTGCTCGCCACCAGTGCTGGGGGGCAGCGGGGGGCACGGGGCCTGCTCGCCACCAGTGCTGGGGGGCAGCGGGGGGCACGGAGCCTGCTCGCCACCAGTGCTGGGGGGCAGCGGGGGGCACGGAGCCTGCTCGCCACCAGTGCTGGGGGGCAGCGGGGGCACGGAGCCTGCTCGCCACCAGTGCTGGGGGGCAGCGGGGGCACGGAGCCTGCTCGCCACCAGTGCTGGGGGGCAGCGGGGGCACGGAGCCTGCTCGCCACCAGTGCTGGGGGGCACGGAGCCTGCTCGCCACCAGTGCTGGGGGGCAGCGGGGGGCACGGAGCCTGCTCGCCACCAGTGCTGGGGGGGCAGCGGGGGGCACGGAGCCTGCTCGCCACCAGTGCTGGGGGGCAGCGGGGGCACGGAGCCTGCTCTCCACCAGTGCTGGGGGGCAGCGGGGGCACGGAGCCTGCTCGCCACCAGTGCTGGGGGGCAGCGGGGGCACGGAGCCTGCTCGCCACCAGTGCCGTGGGGGGACTCACTGGGATGTCTGCAGGCTCCCCTCCCAGGCTTCAGGGTGTGCCTAGGTGTGCCCCACCCCCCGAAAGCCCTGCGTGGTACCTTTCTGCCCTGTCAGTAGAGGTGGAGGAGCAGCCAGACCCACCTTGCTGCCCCCCAGCACCCTCCATGCGCAGGTGACCTGCCCGGGGCCGAGGCTGAGAGGGCAGAGTCCGGATCCCTCGTCTCAGCCTGATGCCTTGGAGCCGCGGTCCTCCTGCTCGATCGCACGGGTTTCCTGCGTCCGCTCCTGAGACAAGGGCTTGTGCACAGCGCGGAGAAGGAGCGGGCGGGGGGCTTGTTGAAGGGGCCAGGCTGGCGGCGGGCAGAGGTGCAGGGCCTGGCCTGTGTCCTCAAGAGCTCGCTGTCTGGAAGGGGCTGACTTGTCACGTGTCACATCATCACCACGTCATCCACCTGCAAAGCTTCGCTGTGCCGAGTGCGCGTGTGTCCGAAGTTTCTGGCGTGTGTCAGCGCAGTTAGTCCTAGAGCAGGCTCCCCTCTGCTGGGTCTGTGGCATCCAGACCGGGAGGCGCCGATGTTTCTGCTTTCTTACGACAACCAAGAGCAGCCCCCCAGCCCTCCCCTCACGTGGCCTCTGCTCCACGTGGCCGGGGCCCCTCAGAGTTGTCTCCATTCCTGAGATGCTGTAGCCAGGTGGCCCCCGGACCTCCAGCTGCTCCGTCAGGGTCCCCTGTGACCTGCGAACATCGGTCAGTGCTCCGGTCTCATCAGTCCTGACCTCTGGCAACACAAGACAGCGATCCCCACGCTGCCCTGCGTCCCTGCGCCCGCTTCTCCCGGACTTCCTGCCGGGGACCGCCCCAGGCCAGATGTGGGCCTTCCAGACAACCTCATCAGCCGTCGGCACCTCGTGTCTGGCGAGATCGCAGACCTCACGGGCGAGCCCGTCTGAGCAGCTCCGGCGAGCCCTCTGCACCTTCTGTTTGGGTCCGTGTCCGCCAGGCGCGTCCTCTGCTCAGGCACACGTCTGGAGTCCCGGGCGTCTCTTTCTCCCACACCCTGGTCCAAAATCCTATTGGCTCAACCTTCCGCATCTGTCATCTGACCATTTCTCCCGGTTCTGCCCATCTCCCTGTCCCGGGTCAGCGTGGATCATTAAGCCCTCCCCCAGGCCTGCCCACTGTGCTGCTCACACCGGCCAGATCGGGCTTTCCGGCCCTCGTCCCCGGAGGGCACCAGGACCCACGCGGCGGCCTCGGGTGCCGGCTGCGGCTTCAGCCCGTCGGCTGCGGCTTCAGGTTCCTACGTTTGCCTGGCCCGTCTGAGTGCTCTTCCCCCAGAAGTCCATGGGGTCACGGCCTCCCTTCCTTCAGGTCTTTGTCCCTGTTGTGACACCTCCCCGACCCCCCTTTGACATGGACTCCCCTGTGCCTCCTCAGCACCTCCTTCCACTTCGTTCTTTCTACGCATTCACCGTCCCCCGGCGTGTTTTATCGTCCGAGTCTCTCCTCACTCTTCCCCCGACCAGGAGAGACCCTGTCCGGGCTGGGCTTTCGTCCGTCTTACTCATGCACCTGAGTGAGCTCCTGGCAGTAGCAGAGTCTCAGTAAATACTGGTTGAGTGAATGAATGGCCCGGAGTCGAGCTCCCCAGGGCTGGGCTGCGGCCCCAGGCATCTCGTGTAATCATGCCCTGCGCGGTGACATCACGGCCGGAGGGCTGGAGGGGCGACAGGGACCGCGGGAGGGAGCTCGTGTTTGGCGGGGCCTTGTCGCTGCAGTGAGCAGACAAGAGGCTGCTGGAGACTGGCCGGCGGCTGCACAGGTGCTGCTGGGAGCAGCGGGCGGGAGCCAGGCCGGCAGGAGGCGGTCAGAGGTGGGGAGAGTCAGGAATTTCGCTACACGTGCACCTCACCCACAACATTCTAGGCGGGTTAAAGACCTTGCCCTTCGTCTGTGTGACCACCACCCAGATCAAGGCGCAGAACACTCCGGCCGGGTCCGGCTGACAGCCGCCCCCAGAGGTAACCAGTGGTCTGCCCTCCGTGGCTGTGGGCTCGTCTGCTTGGTCTGAACTTCCCGCGGGTGGGCTCACGTGACGTGTGCTCTGGCGTCTGGCCTTGTTGCTCAGCAGAGCGTCTGTGAGCGTCAGCCGAGCTGGTGCAGCGAGCGTGTTCTTGTTTCTGGGGGGTTTCATTGCGGCAGGGTTGTGCCAGTTTACCCATCAGTGCTGCTGGCGTTCGGGTGGTCTCCGTTCTGGGGTACTGCGTGCATTCCTGTGTCTCAGCGGGCATAGCATGCTTTTCATTGGACACGTAGGGGAGTGGGGGTGCTGGGACACTGGGGGTGCCGGTCATTGCGGGGTTGGGGTCACCGAGGGTGCTGGGACGCTGGGGATGCCTGTCATTGCTGGTGTTGGGGTCACCGAGGGCGCTGGGGTGCTGGGGGTGCCTGTCATTGCGGGGTTGGGGTCACCGAGGGTGCTGGGACGCTGGGGGTGCCGGTCACTGCGGGTGTTGGGGTCACTGAGGGTTCCGGGACGCTGGGGGTGCCGGTCATTGTGGGTGTTGGGGTCACCGAGGGTGCTGGGACGCTGGGGGTGCCGGTCACTGCGGGTGTTGGGGTCACTGAGGGTTCCGGGACGCTGGGGGTGCCGGTCATTGTGGGTGTTGGGGTCACCGAGGGTGCTGGGACGCTGGGGGTGCCGGTCATTGTGGGTGTTGGGGTCACCGAGGGTGCTGGGACGCTGGGGGTGCCGGTCATTGCGGGTGTTGGGGTGTCACCGGGGACTGCTGGACGATGTGCCTTGTCATTGTGGGGTTGGGGTCACCGAGGGTGCTGGGACGCTGGGGGTGCCGGTCATTGCGGGGTTGGGGTCACCGAGGGTGCTGGGACGCTGGGGATGCCTGTCATTGTGGGGTTGGGGTCACCGAGGGTGCTGGAACGCTGGGGGTGCCGGTCATTGTGGGTGTTGGGGTCACCGAGGGTGCTGGGACGCCGGGGGTGCCGGTCTGCTGGATGTTGTGCGCCCTGTGACACCACAGTGCGCGTCCACACGCAGGCCCACAGCTGCGGGGCAGGCTGGGCGGGCAGGTTCTTCCTGGAGCTTCAGGGACCTTGGGGGTGGGCACCTCACACCGTCGTTTCAATATTAAACCACGAGGGAGCAGAGCAGAGTTGACCTGCCTCAGGGCTAAGCAGACTTCTGTGCCTGGCTGCGCAGGACTCTGCCCCAAGCCCTCGAAGCGGAGCTGCCATCCTGTGCGTGAAGGGGGAACGTGTCGGACGGCCGCTGTCCACCGCAGGCCCCTGGCCCTGCCTGCGCCTGCGCCTGCGGCCCGTCAGAGGGCCCAGGGATCCCTGCTGCCGCCAGGGTTTCAGCGGCTGCCTGTCGGGTGGAAACCTTAGTAATGGCCTGGGTGTCTCTCACAGGTTGAGTGACTACACACCCCACTTTTAGGAATTCACATTATTCATACTTTATTTTATTATTTTTTTAATCCTCATCGGAGGATATTTTTTCCATTTTTTTTGTACAGATAGAGTGGGAGGGAGAGAGAGGAAGGGAGAGAGAGAGAGAAACATCGACGTGAAAGGGACACATCGAGTGGCTGCCACCCGCACGACCAACCAAGGCCGGGGACAAACTGCAACCAAAGTACGTGCCCTTAGCGGGAACCGAACCCGGGTCTCTCTGGACCGCAGGCCGACGCTCTAACCGCTGAGCCAAACTGGCCAGGGCACATTATTCATACTTTAATGCAGAAACCAGCCCTGCATGCACATCATTCTTCCCCAGGAGTGTTGTCATCCCATGTCCACCCGGGGGTCCCACACCCCCGCCCTCCCTGTCGCCCCTCACTGTGGGCTGCCCCCTGTCCCCCCATGACCCTGCAGTAGCCCTGCAGGGCGTCTGTCCAGCACAGGGAGGAGCCCTGACTGAGCTCAGGGCAGGGACGCGGCCTCCAGCCACAGCGGCCCCTGATGCACAGGTGGGCCCGTCGTCCGAGCTACCTGTGTGCGCAGCGAGGTTGCGTGGCCCCGAGCGGCACAGCCGGGTCACGGTGCAGGTGTGCCCTCCTCTCCGCCGTGTGTGCTGACACCAGTGTTCGTTGGCCCGATTGGGATTCTGTTAGCCACTCCAGCCGTCTGTGTCGATTGGCCAGCTGTGTCCCTCTCCTGTGGCGTCTCCTGAGGGCCAGGTGTCTTAAAGCTGTCGTTTTTCTTTTCCCTTTTAAATAGAAGTCCTGAGGGGCAGGGCAAGTGAGAGGTGCTCTTTCTGTGTTTGTTCGTTCTGACATCTGTCGCACCCCAATCCTGGCCGAGCGCTGTGCTTCGGCCTTGGAACTGGGCATGCGTGCCTGCCCCGTGGGAGCCCTGGAGGCCAGGACGGGAGTCGGCGGTGACGGCCGTGGGGGTGAACCCCCTTTAGGCTGGGGAGGTGCGTCAGGGCCTCGCAGAGGCTGTGACGTGGTCGTGTGCTTCATGAACTGCCAGCGAGGAGGGGCCTCCAGCGTCTTCCCAGCGTGACCCAGGCGCTGCGGGGGACCGCTCGTGACAGCTCAGGGTCCGATCGGAAGGCTTGCAGTGTGGCGTTGAGGAGCGAGGTGCCTCGTCCAGGAGGCCCCCACTTAATGTCGTCGTAGATTCTGCGACTGAGCGAAACGGCGCTAATGGAACCCGTCTGCCGCGGGCTGATGGATAGAAACAGAGTTAGGTTCCCTGTCGTCTCATCAGCCTTACGAGGAAACAAAATTGAACACAGGATGTTATTGGAGGACAGCTGTATCGCCCAGGGAGAGGGTGGCGGTGAGGGAGGGGCTGCGTGGCCCCCGGTGTGTGTTCCGCACCCGGACCCATAGTCGGTCAGTCACACGCCCTCCGGTCAGGAGCCCTGGGGCTCAGAGGTGGTTTCTGTCACTGGGCCAGCTGAGGGGAGCCTGGCTTCAGGCCACACCAGGTCCTGCCAGCTGAGGGGAGCCGGGCCCTCAGGGGCCTCCCTGCCCTCCCAGCCGATGGAGGGCAAGACAGGGAGGAAGAGAGAGCTGGTGGATTTTTCCTTCTTGCTGCTGTTTTAATGTGACCACAGCTACATCAACCTCCTGTCTGCTTCCAAATTCCCCCGAGGACCTGGGTTTGAATTCCTAACCCTGGGCTCACTTCCAGACGAGGCCCATCTCAGGTTTGGCTCGGGGCCAAGTCGGCAAACACAGCCCCTGCGGTGTCCAGCCCGGCGGCGGCGGCAAGGACGCTGCCTCTGACAGCCCCGTTCTCTGCTCTTGTCTTCCAGGACCTGGTGACAATGGTGGAGCAGCTGGCCAGGTTCCTCGGGGTGCCCTGCGACAAGGCGCAGCTGGAGGCCCTGACCGAGCACTGCCACCAGCTCGTGGACCAGTGCTGCAACGCCGAGGCCCTGCCCGTGGGCCGGGGTGCGTGCCCGTCCGCCCTGCCTGCCCCTGCCCCTGCCCGAGACCGCTCCCCTGTTCCGCGTCTCCAGAGCCCTCTGCTCTGTGTGGGCGACAGGGTCCCCGGGAAGCTGACGCGGTGGCGCAGTGGAGCGCCCTCCTGCGGCTGTCTGCACGGTAGCAGAGCTAGGGTGCGGCTCACAGCAGTGCCCGCAGCGAGGCCTGGGCTCTGTGGGCAAGATGTTCCCAGCAGGCGTCTTCCCAGCTGGCCCCGCAGAGCAGCCCTGGGATGGGTCTGGGCTGTGAAATCTCAAAGCCAGTGTGCAGATGGGTTCCTCAGCCTTCAGCCGGCTGTGGGTGGGCGAGAGTTTCCCACGTGAGGAAGCGCCATTTCCTGTCCTCACCCGTGGGTGCTGGCGGCTCAGGGCAGGACCAGCCCCGTGGGGGTGGGGCGAGAGCAGAAAGTGCAGCCTTCCCGTGGGCTGGCCAGGCGCCCGGCACAGCAGGAGGCTGGCGCTCCTGGAGCTGATCCTCGGGCGTGAAGTGTGAGGTGGAGAAGGCGCTGCAGGCAGGAGCCCTCCGGACCCCCCCGGGCTGCCTCCGTGTCCTCAGAGGCTGCTCGGCTGTGGAGAGCTCAGGCAGTAGAGTCCGGAGCCCGGGTGGGGGCGGTGGCCGTGCAAGCCACCTCCTGGTAAGGACGAATCGCCTCCGACACTTGGTGGTGCGGGCCTGAAGCTGGTCCCAGAGGTGCGAGCCGGGAGCTCTCCCAGGTGATGAGGATGCTCGAGGGGAGGGTAAAGAGGTGCCACCTCAGGTACGGGGACATAGACGCCTGGGTGGTGGCAGAGGGCAGAGCTCCCATCGCTGCCACGTGCCTCCTGGGGAGAGTGTCTAGGCCAGGCCCCAGGCGCAGACAGGCTCCCCCTGTGCAGAGGGCTGACCTTGGCCCCTGTGGCTCAGGGCTGTGCCGAGGTCCCCTGGCAGTGCCTTCCCGTCTCGGCCGGGCAGCCAGCTCCTCCGAGAAGCAGCTGGAACCAGAACACCGTGTGATTTACCTCCTGGCTGCATCCTCACAGATGTTTATGATTTTAAATTTATTTGCTCGTTTTAAGTTTTGCTTTTGCTCTGTTGTGTTCTCCTTGGGTGCGACCTTCTCCAGAGTGCCCTTGGCTGGCGTGTGTGGTCCGCAGTGTCGGGAACACTGCGTCCTGCGCGTGCCTTCCCGTGTGTGTGCTTTGTCATTGTCTGCCTTGGTTTTGCTTTATTTCAGTTCTTTGATTTTGTTTTCTTTTAGCACATTGCCTCTTTGCTCAGAAGACCTCCTTGCGTTGGGAAGGCAGGGCCTTGAGTAGCCAGCTGCATTGCTTAGATTTGATTCATGTCACAGCATAAATTGCCCTGTGTTGATTCCCAATCCCAAACCAGGTGGGTGACTCCTCTGCCGAGCTCTCAGCTGCCTCAGCTGAGAAAAATAATCGTGGAAAATATATTTATGGGATGGATGGTCTAGAAGCTTCTGATTTTCTCCCTTAGGTACCAGTAAGGGGTAACCGGAGCAGCTCCTCCAGTTTTCTCCCCCAACTCAGACATATAATTTTCACTACCGAAGAGAAAGTCCTTGTCGTGTTGGCTGCATGAGCTTCCCAGGGCTGTGGTTTTGTGCCCGAGGTCCTGCCGGGACAAGGCTGGCCGCGGACAGTGGCTCTGATCTCAGAGATGCTGACAGTCAGCAGAATTCTGAAGGACCATGTCCGACCCCTGAGGCCGTTCCTGGAGAGTTGGCGGGTCACAGCTCCAGGGCTGAGTGGCCGGCGTCCCCTCTCCTGACATCCTCACCCGCAGTTACTCTCTGACCAGACCAAATGCAGATTATGTAGTTAACGGGAAAGCGGGTGGGGTCTGCAGTTTGGGGGTTTGTGAGCTCTCTCCCCGAAGCCTGCCTAACCAGCGGGTGGCCCCGAGCCTGCTGGTCAGTCTGCGGGCTCCGCGCTCCTGCGTGTCGGCCAGGCACACTCGTTTTTGACCTGCCCACTTGCGCTGCAGCGTGGGGAGCGGCCGGGGTGTCGCGTGGGGAGTCCTCGCTGCTGCGCACATCGGCGGCGTCCACTCCGTGCCGCTTCGTTCCTCCCCGAGGCTGTGCAGGTGGTCTTCTCGCAGTTTCCTTCCTTGACCTGGAGGCTTCCTGCTCACCAGAAAGCCTTCCGCCGTTTGGATGATTTTTTTTTTTTCCCTTTTCACATTCTCCAGAAGCAAATGCCTCCTTGGTGGAGCTGTTGAGCCGGGAGTGAGTAGTGACGTCACGGAGACCCCAACTCCACATGGTGCCAGGGCTGTGGCTCCGTCCACAGACCTGTCCATGCCCCGGGTGTTGAACCACGCCTCGGGGCCGGGGGGCCAGGGCCCAGCAGTGAGGGGCCAGAGGCCCTGCAGCCTCGGCTCTGCATTTGTGGGCTGGGCCACCGAGCAGGGAGAGGACACCAGGGCGACAGACTCAGGGAGGCGGGCTCAGCTCATCTGTAGTTCAGATCGCCAGCCCTGCCCCCCTAGGCCCAGTTCGGAGGGTCCAGGAATAGACCCGGAAGCCTCCAGACCCGTTTCCAAGGCCCCTCGGGCGGGCGGCCTCCGCACGCCGGCTCAGCGCGTGCTCTCGCTTGCGTTCCAGGGCGCGTCGGGCTGTGGAAGGACATCTTCACTGTGTCCATGAACGAGAAGTTCGACCTGGTGTACAAACAGAAGATGGGGAAGTGCGACCTCACGTTCGACTTTTACTTGTAGCTCCAGCAACAGCAGCCCTGCATGCTCACTGTCCCCAGACACCTCGCTACAGTCCTGTAGGCACGCACTCACCTCGCCGGGCCAGCTCCGGGAGCCGCGGACGCGGGCGGGCGGGCGGGCGGGCGAGGTGGGGGCCTTGCTTCCGTCCCAGCAGCTGCCTTGCGGTGGAGTCTGAAGTCTGTACATGTCTGGTTACAAATGTTGCCCGATCGCTGCTCCAGTGGCCAGGGCCTGAGCTTCGTCTGTGACATATGCAACGAGAATGTCTGCCTTCTACAGCCCACAGTACTTACTGTATTTTATAGAGCTTTTCACTGGAAATCTAAATAAATGTCAGTGTAAACCAAATAAAAGTTCATTTCCGAGGGGACTCGGGAGCCAGCCACGCCCGAATGGCAGCAGGAGCTCAGGGTCGACTCTTTATTTTTGTAGGTTGCTTCTGAGGCACAGCGGGTCAGGGCTCACCTGGCTCTGAGGAGCTGAGGACTCAGGAGTTGGGGGTGGGGGGGACGGTCTCTCCGGATGGCGTGCAGTTCTTCGTCACCTTGAAACCAAGCAGGACCTGCTCACCGGGGTGCTTGCAGAAGGGAACCCCCTCTGAGACACCCACGCCCGAGCCAGCAGGACATCCCGGGAGCACACCTGCCCCCAGGCCGGCAGACGGGTGGTCAGTGTGGTCACCAGAGAGTCTGCCCTGGAGACATCACTGTCCTCGGTTCCCTGAAGCAGAAACCTGCTCAGTGGGCGAGCGGACGCGCAGTGAGTTCCTGGGGCTCCCGGTCTTGAGCGCTCAGGTTGCCGTCTCCACCGAGGCTCAGCCGTGGGAGCCGCTCTGCAGGTTTAACCTGGTTGGCATCTCGCCCACGTCTGTCCTCCGCGGCTCACTGTACCCAGGGGAACAGGGGTGGTATCTTTACCTGCCCCCACCCCTGCTTCATTTTCTGACCCGCATCAGGCTGGAGAAGCGGAGAGATGGCCGGGGAGCAGCTGAGCCTGTGCTGTTGCCGTGGTGGGACGGGCTTGGCCCTGCGTTTTCATGTGGCTGGGAAGTGCCCTGAGGTGGCCGGGCGGCGTCCGCCGTGGCGTCCGCCCTGTGTTGTGGCTTTGAGAAGACGTGTTGATTGTGAAGGCAAGCAGCTGAGCCGGGCAGGCGGCACGTGGCCTTGCACGGCGGGCTTGCAGCCCCTTGTCTGCGGGCCCGGGAGGGCGGCTGCCCTCTGTGAAGTTTTTCCTACTTTTCTACCTGGTGCCGTTTGGTGCGGGACTTCTGTGCTTGCTTGCATCTGTAATAAAGACACGTCCCAGGCCTGGTGTCGGTGTGTGCTGGCGGGGGGAGGGCCCATGTGACCCCTCAGCACTGCAGCGGCGCGACAGCCCCACTGACACCCCGTCCTGTGGCGGCTTTGGCTGCTGTTTGGATTCAGCATTCCGAGAGTTGAATTCGCCTTGCTCTTCGTCCCCGGCAACACCTTCTTTAAGCCGAGATGAATGGCGAGGTGGGGGGAGAGGAGAGCCTGGGAGAGATTGGGGGGTGCAGGTGTCTGTCTGACCTCTGCCTTGGAGGCCCGTGGTCCAGGGGGCGTGGCCCGGGATGGGAGCTGGCGCTGCACTGACGTCCAGAGTCGGCCTGCCTAATTGCTCGCGGAAGGCAAAGCCAAGTTTCATATGATAAAACTTGGGCTTTCTGGAAAATCACTCTTTTCAATGGTCTAGTTCATTTAAGTCTTAGGGGGAATCCTGAAATTGGTTTTGATATCTAGAGTTACCCTAGATCCCACGTTAGTTTATGGAATGTCCAGTCTGCTGTGTCCCAGATCATTTACAACAAATCACATAAAATCAGAAAATCAAGGTAAAGTCAGTGGGTCAAGAGGCAAGGAGGGCGTCCACTCAGCAGACAGCGGAGCACCTGCGATGGGCCAGGCACTGTTGTAGGCACCAGGGGTCATCGTCATAACACCTGAGAGTTCAGGCTCAAGACGGCTGAGGGACCCGCTAGACCACATGCTCTCAAAGGGCCAGGAGAGGGAAGGAAGGGGACCCAGCTTGGAGCCCCCTGGGGGAGAGGCCAGGGGTTGGGAGGGGTGGACAGGCACAGCTCTGGGAGGAGCTTTACAGGGTGTGAGAGTTTGGGTTTTGGGCAAACACAAAGGACGCCCCGGGAGGGTTCGATGGAAGGATGCTGCCTGGTCTGCATGCTAGAAGCTCCCTGGCTGCTGGTGGAGGGTGGAGGGTGGAGGGTGGAGGGTGGGGGGCCTCCCCCGGGGTGAGGGTCAGTGTCCGCGGCATGAGGGGCAGGGCTCTGACCTGACAGGCCGCTCCTCGGGGAGTGTTCACGGGCAGTGGTCCCTGCGCCGAGACAGCATTCGGGGCGGAAGGTGCAGTGAGCCCCGTGTGGAGAACGGCGTGGCGGGCTGGGGTGGTTGTGTCGGGCAGATGGGAGTGGGCTGGGCCAGCAGGTGGAGAGAGGCCCTGGCAGGTTGAATTCTACAGAACAGCCTCGCTGGGATTCCCAGGGGCCGGGGGCCACGGCAGGATCCCAAACAGGATTTGGGGACCAGGAAGGCTTTCACCCGCGAGCACCTCCTCGCCAGGCTGGCCGTCCCGGGCTGTCCTCCTGGCTCTGACGCTCTGCGCCCCTGGGAACCCGTCATTTGTTTTCTTCCAAGCACCCAGTTTCTCCATCAGAGAGGACCAACACCGATTTGGTGGCCCTCCCACCTGAGCAGGGCAGTCAGTGTCTCTGTCACGGTGTCATGAGTGACAAGTGGCGATGACTTTGTCCTGCTCGCTTCACGGCATGGTCACAAGTAAAGTGGCTTTGAAAACAAAGGACATGCACAGCTGTGTCTTCTGTACCCAGCACTGCTGGCGGGCGCCCTCTGGTGGTCACATCAGAGTTGACAGCAAGCTTCCCTGCGGTTGAGAGGTCCCAGCTGGATGATGTCGCCCTCAGGACTGCGGACACAGTCGCGCAGGACACGTGTACCCACCTTTCTGAGCAGGTGGCCCCTGTTTGTAATGGTGGGGGAGTCCTCGGTGTCCATCACTCCACTAGGGGTCCCAGTCTCCTGTAGGGTTTGGCCCCAGGCCTTTCATCCTTACAGAAGCAGCCTTTCCAGACTGGGCGGCCTGGTGGCCAGGTGGCCCAGCCTAACCCAGCAAGGAACGCCCTCTGACATCCTGGCAGCTGGACAGCCACCCCGTTGCTGGCAGTCCTCCCTGGCCACTCCCACAGGCTCCCTGCCCCAGCCCAGCCCTGCCTTCCCCTGAACCTCCCCCACCCGCTCCCCAGCTTCCCCCTCGTCCTGCCTGCCCACTGCTCCGCCTCCCTCCATGGACAGTGGCACCCTCAGAGCAGGGCTGTGCTGTGCCAGCCGTTTCCTAGGTGGCTGTTTGGCACACGGTCAAAGGCTGGTTGCCGAGCGCCGTCTCGTCATTAGGGTGGATGTCGTTTTTCCTGGAGACCACCTGCCCTGTACCTCCTCGGTGCCGCTGCTGGCTCCCCGGTGGGGCTTTGCTTTCCCAAACGAGAACCCGGCCGGTGTCCTGCCTCTTCAGCTGGACTCGCCACTCTGGGCCTTGGCCCTGCTTTCAGTCTGTGCGGTTAGCGACCCTGGTCATTTGTGCTCTTCCCTCCTCAGACCCTCCCTGACAAGTCGTGACTTCCCAGGTCTGGGCGTCGCCGTGGGAGAGACTCTGGCCCCTTCCTTCGCCTGACCTCTCCTTCAAGCCCAAGCCAGAAACACGGTGCCCACGAGAACATCCTCCGTCCTTCAGTGGGCGTGCCCCACCCCCTTTACCTCTGTACCTGGATTTACTGAGCATCTATTGGTAATGCCCGGTGCTGGGTCCAGGAGACACACTTTCGGTACCTCTCCCCTCCCACTTTAGCTCCCCACTCTGCCGTTCCCTTGGGACCCTGCCCACATTTATTACCCAAACATGCGTGGAAAAGAGGCATGGTGGGGGGTCCGAGCACCGGGTTCCACAGTCCTGGTTTAGCCTTTGGTTGGCCATGTGACCCGCCCTCTCGGCCGGTTTCCCTGTGTGCCCGATGGATGTTTGGTGGGAGATGATCTCTGCAGTTGCCTCTGCTGGTTCGAGCCTCTGGGCGGTGGCTCAGTGAGCTTTCTCCAGTGGGACACTGCCCGGGACCGCTTACATGCACACCTCTGCAGCAGGCAGGAGGCGGAGGAGTGGGCAGAGCCAGCACTGGGAGATGCAAAGCTGGACAGCAGGGACACTAAGGTCAGAAATAGGGCGAGCTGGGCACAGACGGGTCAGGGGCCAGAGAGGCATGCCAGGTGGGGAGAAATAGGACACACTGAGGTGAGTCAGGGTCCTCCAGCTCTGCCACTATTGGTGGGACCATGGGGGACACCCCTTTTCATCTCCCAGTGAACAGGTCTCAAGCCAGGTGTCTTATAACCCCAGCCAGCTAGAACATTCTGTGTCTCTTAAGTAGTCAAACTGCCTATTGGCTCAACCCAAGAGGAGCTGATGAACGGGGAGGGGCACATGAATTTTTAGCCAGTGACAGGCTTTGCCAGCAAGGGCAAAGAGGAGTAGTCACAGAAGCACCTGCCGCACAGCTGGGGCCCATGCAGCCATCTCCAAGGCGTGCTGAGCCTTTGCCCAGTCGACACGCTGGATGGAGATTTCCTTCTCACGCGTGGGTCCCTGTGAGCTCCCTGGGCTGCACCTCCTAAGCCTGTCTCCCCACCACGGACGGACGGAATCTGTGCTCTATTAAAAGCAACCTTTCAAGTGGGGGAATGCGAAATGTGTCTGAGATATAAAAATCAACCACAAAATGCATATTACTCTTAAAGCTGTCGTCTTTACATAGATCTGTGGTGTTGGGCACCAGCTGGGAACAGAAGTCCTAAAATCCAGGAGCATGCCCAGCCAGAGTGGCTCGGTTGGACATCACCCTGTGCACCGAAAGGATGTGGGTTCAATCCCCGGTATGTACTGAAGGCAGCTGACAGATGTGTCTCTCTCACATCGATGTTTCTCTGTCTTTCTCTCTCTAAGCATGTCCTCAGGTGAGGAGTAAAAAAAAAAAAATCCCATGAGCAAGGCTATCTC